CTGATTCATTACTTTGTAATTGTTCATGAATGTAAACCATGTAAGGAGTGAAGCTTTTCATTACCTCTGTAACTTGCCATGATTAGTGACCAGATCTCCCTGGAGTTCATTCCCTTTTGGGTAACTAGTTCAGCTATCATAACTTTGGGGCCAGTCACTGACCCATTATGTACCTTTGTAATCTTTTGACTACCGCCCACAGGATGGGTAGGGGGTGCATAAAGATATTAAACTAAAGTGTGTGTGGTGTGTGTGTGTGTGTGTGTGTGTGTGTGTGTGTGTGTGTGTTTGTGTGTGTGTGTGTGTGTGTGACTCAACAATCAATATTTGCACCAAAACTCATTACAGTTGTGACCGGGTGTGGAAGTGTGAATTGCTCATTACTCTATAATTTTGTTCATGATTGTAGCCAAAGTATAAACGTAAGTAACCATTCTACAGAATTCATTACCTTTGTAACTTCTGAGCTCATTACCTTTGTACCTAGTTCAGCTATCAAAACTTTGGGGGCCCAGTCCCTGGACCCATTACGTACCTTGTAATCTGTAAATACCTTTGTAACTTGTCATGATTGTGACCAGACTTACCTGGAGTTCATTACCTTTGTAAATTGTGAGTTCATTACCTTTGTAAATTGTGAGTTCGTTACCTTTGTAAATTGTGAGTTCATTACCTCTGTAACTTGCTCAGCTATCAAAACTTTGGAGTCCAGTCCCTGGACCAATTATGTACCTCTGTAATCTTTTGACTACCGCCCACAGGATGGGTATGGGGTGCATAATAAACATATTAAACTAAACTAACTAACTTATGCGAGATGGGACAAAGACAGATGACAGCCAAGAAATGAGTGAGATACTAAAGTCCCAGTACGACTCAGTGTTCAGCGAGCCACTGCCCAGACTAAGGGTCGACAATCCAATTGAATTCTTTATGAACGTAACCCAAAATTTGGTCATCCCAAAACTCTCGGATATTCTAACTCCACAAGATTTTGAAGAGGCAATTAATGACATGCCCATGCACTCTGTCCCAGGCCCAGACTCGTGGAACTCCGTGTTCAACAAAAATTGCAAGAAGCCCCTATCATGTGCCGTCAACATTTTATGGAGAGGGAGCATGGACACAGGGGCCATCCCACACACACTAAAAACAACAGACATAGCCCCACTCCACAAAGGTGGCAGTAAAGCAATTGAAAAGAACTACGGACCGATAGCACTAACATCCCATATAAAAATCTTTGAGAGCGTTCTAAGAAGCAAGATAGCCAACCACCTAGATACCCATCAGTAACACAACCCAGGGCAACACGGGTTTAGAGCAGGTTGCTCCTTCCTGTCCTAGCTACTGGACCACTATGATAAGGTCCTGGATGCTGTAGAGGATAAACAAAATACAGATGTAGTATACACAGACTTTGCAAAAGCTTTCGGCAAGTTTGACTATGGTGTAATAGCACACAAAATACGGGATAAAGGAATAACGGGAAAAGTTGGTAGATGGATCTACAACTTCCTGATAAATAGAACACAAAGAGTAATAGTAAATAGAGTAAAGTCCCAGGCAGCCATGGTAAAAAGCTCTGTTCCACAAGGCACAGTACTCGCTCCCATTCTATTCCTCATCCTCATTTCTGATATAGACAGAGATGTAAGCCATAGCTCCGTGTCTTCCTTTGCGGATGACACCCGGATCACCATGACAGTGACCTCCATCGAAGACACTGCGAAGACACAGCTAACAAGATAAACGACTTCTTCTCAACCATAGGATCTAACCTCGCCAGTAAAATCCCACGTACCAACACTCGTGCCGGGGACTACCTAGATGGGAATTTCCCAAATTCCTTCTATCTTGTACCAACTGAGCCCAGGGAAGTCACCGCGATTATAAAGTCACTTAAAAATAACTCAGGGAATCTGTCTCATGTCCCACCATTACTATACAAGCGAGCGGCCCATATCCTTTCGCATGCTATTACATTACTTTTTAACAAGTCACTAGAAACTAGCACTTTCCCGACACTACTCAAGACAGCAAGGGTTACACCAATACATAGAGGTGGTGCCCCTACAGATGTAAAAACTATAGGCCAATATCAAACTTACCATTGCTATCCAAAATCTTCGAGAAACTCGTGCACAGGAGACTATATTCATTTATAACGGCACAAAACATACTCAACCCCTGCCAATTTGGATTCAGGAAAAATAAAAACACTAATGATGCAATTGTACAAATGCAAGATCTGCTTTACACAGCATTGGAAAAGAACGAATATCCGCAAGGAATTTTTATTGACCTAAGAAAAG